ATAACAATAATTTATAAATGATATACCTGCATCATACATATATCTATAAAAGTTGAGGATAGTTGTAGATACGGTTAAATGCAATTTTTTTATGTTGGAATTTTTATTAACATTTTCTCAAAGGCATACAGAAATATGAAGAAGCAACAAAAAATAAGCGATAATTTTTTTTTCAAATACACAGATATCCTATTATCTTTCATTTCTTTCTTTTCAAGATAAAATTAATTTTATCTTGATACTATATTATTAATTTACTTTGGGCCACATCCAATGCATCATTTTATTCACAATGAGAAAATATTCTTGAGTATTAAATATCATTATTTTACTTTATCTTCTATCTATTTTTTTCTTCTGCTTCATTTAAACATATAACATTCTAAAATTTACATGACCCAATCTCGCAACAAATTATTGCTTTCTATTATAATTAACAAATTGTTTAACAGAATATGTCATATCTTTTTACATCTACATAAATCTACATAAATTTTTTACTGAATATATCACAATATTGTGATTAGGCTTACTTTGTATACATATTATTAGAAAATTGTGGACATTTTGTTTTTATTCAAATTAAATTATTTATAATAATTTTCGCGTTATTTTTTTCATTGATGCATATAATGTAATAAAATATGAATAATTCATACAATATTATTTACCGTTCTTAACTATAAATGATTAAATAAATTCGTAAATTCGTATTATTCCTAATAAGAAGAAATATAGAAATTACGTTATATACATACAAATGTACTAAGAAAATATCGAGAATACGTAACGAATGTATGATAAATACTATTTTATTTTCCAAACTTCCAACGCAAAACCAAGTTTAAACTATTAAATGTAGTTTTTAATAAATTCGTATTTCTCGTTTTCTTATCAAACAAATGTACTTTACAAGTTATTAACATATCTATACAAATTAAAATACTGCATTCGTTTGCCATTACAATTTCCATTAATAATTATTTTTTAGGAATCTGCAAGCCTATCACTTTACATGAGACAGATGGGTACACAAAATATTGTATTATTTTTACTGTATTCAGAAGAAATTATTTCAAATAATTATAGAAATATTAATAGCTTCTTTTTAATTCTTTAATATTATTTGAAAATTTACATATTATTATTTATTTTCAAATAGTGTGCACTTTATTATTATTGTTATTATTTATTATTATTTATTATTATTTATTATTATTATTATTATTATTATTATTATTATTATTATTATTATTATTATGTAGCAAATCCTACTATTTTTTTTTTTTTTTTGTTTTATCTAAGGGTCTTTCAAAGCTTTACATCAGTCGATTAAATAATACTAAAATAGCGTTGGAAAAATACCACGTACCCATCCACCTGAACTCTACATATTCTTATTTGTTACACCTTTATAAATCTTACAATTTTCTAAAATTATACTGCACTCTCAAAAATATATAACTGCATTAATTCGCGAATCTTTGTCTCTCCACATTCTTATTCTCTTTTATTATTCTTCAATTTCCATTCGTTTATTCATCATTAAAAGCTTCCTTTAGAAGCTATACACATTCTTATATACATATATAGTTGTCCGAAATAATACCTGTGGTAATTGTAAACTCTTTTTGAACACGTCTCTCTCAAAAAAAAGGATATCATTCTTTTCTTTTTTATTCTTTTTTCCATTCAAAGCTTTTCTTCAAAATTTTTCCCAGAGAAGATTCTAGAATGTACACTTTGCGAAGGCATAAAATAGTTTAACTGGAAAATCGATTCACAGCAAGATTAGTTTAAAGACGGAATGTCATTAGTTTACATTCATCAGTTAATTCAACAATATAGAGGTAAATGTTAACGATCCATAGTTGTTAACATATCCATATATATGTTGGCTGCGATCGCTTGTACTTAACATTCGTCATGAGACTAGCTCATCGTTAAGATATTCTTCGCTATCCTAAATGTGTATATATATATATATATATTTATGTATATATATATATTAAATATGAAGTATTTTTTATTCATCTTTGAAAGGCAAGCACTATGTCAGCTCTGACATGGCATTCTGACTGATCAGCAATTTATAACGAAGGAGCTTTTTTATTTCATATCCACACTCGCTATATGTACGAAATTACAGCAATATTTCGGTGTGATTTGTTCTTCTATTTTTTTCTTTTTTATGCTATTTTTTTTTCCTTTTTTTTTTTTGGTGTATTTTCTTTTGTAATCTCTGGACAATGTTTTTCTCTACGAATATATTACTATTGCAACTTAGGTAATTAGAATATTTTTAAAGTTATAATTATTTCACGTAATTCTATGGACGATAATTATTAACGAAATTATAAACATCTCTAAATTTATTCTAAATAGAGATGTTCCAGAATGCGTCGTTTCTACTTTATTCTTCAATGACAACGGTCCACCATCGTCGCTTTGCATATTAGATATATCGGATTTTTTCGGCGGTATGATCATGTTCTCATCGTGATCCTCGTTATCATCTATATTATGATCACGATGAATATTTTTGCTCATGTTTTGAGAAATTGTGGTAGTAGTAGTAGTAGTGCTCGGTTCTGTTGTTGGTGGTGCGGTGGTTGTAGGAACTAAACTGTAATTTCCAAGGAAATAGATAGATCCAAATTCGGGTTTTACATCAAATATTGTCTGTTCGCTGCGAATACCGCTTATCACACGAGATTTGGTCTCTCCATCTTCGTAATGCGAAATTAAGGCTCCAGAATAGGGTACTTCCATATCGATACAATAACCTTTTAGAGTAACATTTATTCCTGTACCGGGTTCGAGGATTATTTCCACCCTATTTTAAATAAATATTAATATATTAAATGAATATAATATAATATTATATTTATATAATGATAATAATTAAAAATATGTTCATGACATAAAGTATAATTCTTTGAATCAAATAAATTATTTAATATTATTTAAAAGCTGTTAATAATTAGTTGTATAAAAAATCTGTTATTTCTCATATGCTTTTAATTGATTTATTTTAAATGATACAGAAAATACTCACGTATATGCATCAGTACGAGTACTAATTTCCTTTGTACCCCACATTATTTGTGGCAAAGTTGTACCATTCATCAATATAATTGATGTATTTAGGCCTTTCAGAATGGCGTGACCTTGACCCCAGTACATAGAATAATTGTACGTATAAGTGAAAGCTTTCGCCATTTTTGCAGCTTCCGGTCCATTATTGACGATCGTCGCGTTATCAAATATACAGGGATTACTTGACATTTTGATCACTCGTTTTTTAGGCCAACTTAATTTAACCATCGTCAGATTATAATAGATAGGTTCCGTTTCGACCAGAACATCACCACTCTTTGCGATTCCTTCTGTACCATCCTAATGGAAAAAATATAATGCTTTTTTAATTAATAATAATATTTTATTAAAAAAAAAATCTATATATATAGTTCAATATTTTAATTTTTATTTTATACAATATTGAGGTGCAATTCACGTTTTGAAATAATATTAACTCTAACTAAAATAACAAATTTCTTCTAATTTAAAATAAGTATCAATCAATTACGTAGCCGATAAATGATATCAGTTCATTTATCCGTCATTTACATGTAAGATTACCCTTCAATTAATTATTATATTAATTATTATATTAACAACTATATTTTCCTGCTTTACTCTTCATCCTACATCAATCCTTTCCTATTCCACATTAAATAAATGTTTCAGTTTTAACATATAAAACATATAATAAAAATATATACAAAACTTTTGAAACTGCTATCGCATCGAATATAAATCACTGCCACTCAAATCGCAAAGGGTTTTAATTCACCGCAAATCTTAAAACCCGGTGGCAATGCCCCGTTTTCATCCAATTCTCTGACTGAAAACCAACCCATAAACGCTTCTCAACCGCAACTACTTCACATCTGAAAAGGAACACCCTCCTCTCTTGTTTCTCGTTTCAATTCCCTCCACCACTCTCCATTAACAAATCTCGATTACGGGCATTGCAATTTCCACCATCCAAGCAAGCATCGTATCCAAAAGAGGAGACTAACCCTCGCTAATCCTCAGTCTGTTTTCATTCCATGATATGAATGGCTTAATCCCTCTACCACCTTACAAACGCGAAACGCAAGCATTGCAATCTCAACTACAAACATCCTTCTTCCTCAAGAAAAAAAGAGAGAAAAAGAGAGAGAGAGAGAGAGAACACCATGCTCCACGAGCCGCGTAGCAATTACTTACATCTTTCACGTAGCTGATACTCTCTAGAATGTTGTCATTGGTGGCCAAGGTGCCTATATAATGGGTATATCTCGCCGCCGATGTGTTCTTGGGGATTTCCGCTAGGTGCCGGGCGACGAACATCTTCTCCGTTGCTACAGCTCCCAACGGGGTGGGTTTGTATTTGTCCAAGTACTCCCAGTTGACGCGTGCTGCACTCTTCACGTTCTCGAGCAAGTCGTATTTATCGTACGACTGCACGGTACCGTGCATCGTCACGGTGCATCGTTGCTCGTTACCCCTTTGGGCACCAGCCACCCAGACAGTCGTGTGCAATACCCTGCATACGTACAGGGGTACTCTTTTTTCTGATTTGTCTGCTTGATTGTTGAACGAGTCGTCTGCGGAAAAAAAGAAAGAAAGAAAGAAAGAAAGAAAGAAAGAAAAGAAAAAAAATAAATGTCGACGGATTTTTATCGGAAGAGACGAGAACGGTTGGATATTTTTATCCAGTCAAGGGGGAGGGGATGGAGGAGATGAGAATTGTATATTCAAGATATTGTCAAGAGAGAATAATCTCGTCTGGGCCAGGTGTATAGGCGAGAAAAGTTAATTCATGGGCTCTTTTGAAGATGTTGCTTCGAGGCGATGCTTAGCGGCAATTAGTAAGAACGGGAAATTAACGCGAGCTTGTGCAACCGTGCAGGAGTGTTTCCGGATGTAAATGATATACCTTAACATTCACAAGTGGTGGTCGGACACTTGCTCGATTTCGACTTAAGGATATATCTTAATTATGAGATTGTCATGTGAACGGTGATAAATATTTGTTTATAATAAAATATTATAGCTTTTAAACACAATTTCTTCGAACTTACATTTCTTTTAAATATTTCGAAAGGATTTTTTTTTTTCAATTTTTATTATAAAATTTGAAGGATAAAGATATTAGAAAAACAATGTTTAATTAAATTTAAATAAATAATTAATTAAAGTTCTTAAGATTAATTCATTTACGATGATTATAATACAATATGTATAAAAAGTTAATTTATTTTAATGCATTTTATATTTCAATGCTTTTCCATAACAAAAATTAAGACTTTTTGACAAAGTTAACCATCGAAAAGATTATATTTCATCCTGTTTTCTCCTCTAATTCGACATACCTTCCACTTTTTCGATCTCGAAACCACCAATGACTATATCCTTGGAGCCATCATAATGGGTGCGGGGCAGCCAATTCAGGGTGGTCGAAGTGATCAATTGGTACTTTGACAGGATGTGCACGCTGTTGTCTGCATTCGTCAGCAATAGAAGAACACCGAATAGTCCTACAGCGAGGAAGACCCTTTGCCAAGACATCTGCAATTTTAACGTTTTAACGTCATTGTGAATGAAAAGAAAGAAAAAAAAAAAAAAAGAGAGAGAGAAAAGAGGAAAAGAAAAGAAGTAAAAATATCTGTGAAGAGAATAATTTTTTGTGCGAGCTATTCGCAAAATCCATATGTTCAAGAGGAAGTTCAAGAGTGTGTTCATATCTAATCCAGGAAAGGGTTGAACACGTGGTGAACGAAGGAGACGAGCTCTAATAAGATCGTTATTACGATACAGCAAGCTAATTTAGAGGTAATTTGAGATAATAAGGCTCAGCTTGCACCGTAGAAAAAAAAAATATCGGCAAATTTAACATCGTGTGCGTTATTAGCTTTTTTATTAGCTGTGTATATTGTTAATGGATTGAAGCTTCATCATTTTCTTCGAGGATATTTTTAACATTGCGTGGAATTAATTTTTATTCGGATAGTTTTAGGGATATGCAAAAGTAAAAATTATAACAATATTTAAAATGTTCTAAAAATAAGAATATTTTTTAAGATTATTCTCTAGTCTATTGATTTGTATAATTGATAATATTTCTGTTTTAGAGAGAAAATTAAGTAAGAGAATTTATTTGAGGGTAAAATTCTTTGAAATTTGAGAATTGCTTTAATTTCTTCATTTTGAAAAATTTTTTTCAAAAAATCAATCATAGATAATATTTTTTTTTACAAAAATAATACATTATCATTTGCCATATTTTAAGGCAATGTATATTTCTTCCTTTTTCTTATCATTATTTTTCTTTTTTTAAACTGAACGATAATTGTTTCCGACAAAGTGATCTATCATCATTTGCTTTTTTTTATATAATGCATGGTATTCTCAAAAATGAGCCAAGTTTCCAATTTTTAAATACAATGTTACGCAACGTTTCAACGCGTTTTATAGCGACCTTAACTTTTGTAACAGTAATACCTTGCCTCTTTGCGATTATGTTTCTGCTTACAGAGCGTATCTTTAACACAGCTCGCGTATAACTGGATCTCCTACTTCGCCTCATGTGTTTTCGCTTCAGTTAATGGCAAGAAAACGAAACGAACACGCGAATATTTCTAGAGTGTCCTGTGATCGAGCCAAAATATTTTCTCATTGCCATATCGTATTCATGGTCAATTCTTTTTATTTTATCAATTTCCTGTTTTTGACTTCTTACACATTATTCATGGAGTATATTTCTTTGAAAGTTCTCAGTTTAAGAATTAAAACTTTATATAATTTTGTACAAAGTTAATAATATCGATAGAAATTCGAGAAAAATTCAAGAATTTATGATAAAATGTCTCGAATTCTCGAAAAATAGAAAGGATCTTAAATTCTTTGAGGAATTAAAAACATCAAACAACAGACTTTAAAAGGAAATCGAATATTTATAATAAAATTTTTAGTTGTAAAAAGATAGTAATACATACATAAATTCTTAAGAAATTCTTAGTTATTTAAATTTTTTAAATAAATTAAGAATATCCATAGAATTTAAAAAGGAAAAAGAAATTATAATTTTATAATAAAAATATTTAATTATAAAAAAGCGACAGATTAAAATTTATAGTATATTTTGCATATATATTTTGTTGAAAAAATGAACCTTGAATATTTTTCTTCGGTCAATGGAAATTTTACCTTCAAGCTACACTGCATGGAACGTGTTAATATATGATTTCCTGTATTTCTTAAGTTTCTTTTTATAAGGATATTTTATATTTAGCAATTTCTAGATAATATTATATAGTTAGACGATCCAAAGTTATTATTTTAATAATAGGTAAACGTTGAAAAAGAAGAGATTTTTCTTGAAATCAGTCCATAATAATTTGGAGCAATTGATTTTTTATTTTTCGATAGACTCTATCTCACTATTTAAAACATCTCAGATTTAAAACATTTTCAACCTAATATTAAATATTAAAATATTAAAATTTTAAAATCGATTGTCCGAATTTTTTGCGATTTTAAAATAATTTTGATCAATAATTTATTTTTTTCGAATAAATATAACAGAGAAAATTATTTTTTCTCGTTTTATAAAAGAAATTACAATTTTTGTCTGTCAAAATTTTTTATAAACTTAATCAGTCATGCTCGTCTACGCATTCGCAGTTAATGTAATGGTGTAACGGAAGTCGCAGCTTTAACCATCATTAACGGAGATTCATAAAATAATATAATATCGAATTGGAAAAAAAAAAAAAGAAAGAAAGGTTCGGTCGTAAAAATGTTAGTCTGGAAGGAAGCATGAATGCACTAGTTTCCTTTCAAGGTGTACCTGGTACATATATATCTTCAATATACATAGAAGTTACTGTAACGGTTCCGTGGCATATCCGTTTACGTGATAATACACTTATTTTATAACGCTCGTGCCCCACTGCGTACAATTCTTTGCTTTTTCATTTTAGGATCTCGCTTGACTGACTTCTAAAGTTATCTGTGAACATGGGCAAGAGAGTAAACTTAACTCAACTTTTAATAGTATTTTATTGCGACCGATTTAATATGAAATGGGAAAATTCTAACATGATTATGGGGGAAGTTTAGAGAAATTTTTATCTTTTAAAGGATTTAATTAAATGTTTGATGAATAAATTGGAAGAAATTAATTTCTTTGAAAACTATTTCTTTGAGCTATTCGTCTTGGGTTATTGATCTGTTGATCCGTGACTCATATTTTTGAGTCATAGAGAACAGTTAGGTTACGTTATTTAATTTTATTAATCAGTAATTTTTTCCTATAAAATATAGGAAAGAAGAATACATTATATTATATAAATATATTATTTTGATTAAATAATTATGTCATCAAATTTTTAATTATACATTAAAATAAAATAAATTCGAAATTATTTTGATTTGATACTAATAGTAATTAGTAGTTAGTAATTAGTAGATTAAAGAAATAAGAGAATTTTAAATATTTTTTTCAAACGATTTATATTCTTTAGAAAGAAAAAAAATAAGCAAGTATATATTTGAAAGACTTGGTCGATTTTTGGGATAACTCCAAATTGTAAGGAGGGCTGTTCCATAATCTAGTTTGGCGAGTAAAATAGATTAGGGTTCACAAAGAGAGGTGGATGCTCTTTGTTCCATTGCGTAAAAAGCTGAACAAAAGCGTGACGTTGTAGCTAGAGGGAACAAAAGAGCATCTGTGTTTTTCATTCCAAGTGATCCTGAATCGCGACCGGGATCAATTTCATTTAAGAAATGATGCAATTTTATGCGGCAAAGTGCTCCGCGTTTAAACACTCAATTTAAAGATCTTGCATTCACTTTGAAATAAAAAATTCAAATCGAATCTTTTGTTTTAAACAAATATTTCGAAACATTCGTTCAATTAATTACAAATTTGGCCCATTTAGAAAAAAATTTATATAATACTATATATTATGTTAAAAAAAGAAAAATTGTATTTTCAAAATATGATATATATCTCCATTATCTTATAGAAAGTTATAAGATAGTTATAACTGTATTTTTTATAAAAATTATTGAAAATTTATTGTCCTATCAGTTTTGAAGAATTAATTTATTTGAGCAAACTATGATTACATAAATTAATTTCAAAGATGGAAATTTCCAAATACACTATCCGATAATTAAATTCTATTCCCATGATCCCTGAAATTTCATTAATTCTTTTAAATTGATCCTAGACACGTGATCCTTCGATTCATTTAATTATAAGATTTGTAGATTAAAGATATATATATATATATCTTTCACAAAACCTTATTTACAACTCTATCTTTTCTCATTATTGATATTTTAATTATATGAAATCTCATATATCATATGAGATATCTCGTATATCTCATAACATCGACATATATCGATAGTTACAATTTTACTCCGCGCTACTTGATGGATTAAAAATCGTGTGATACTGTTTTGTCTTGTTTAAAATATTGTATCTAACATTTCCCAAAATATGTTGCAAATATTTGAAATTTCATCTTTTTACCTTTTCAAGCAAAGTTAGAAAGTTTGAAACGAAGTTTGTAAAGGAACGATACAAAGAAAATGATAAAAGACCTATCGACTACTAAAGATGGCAGTATTTTATTTCGTATTTGTATTGATGAGATCGTAGGTAGGTAGCGTGGAATACCCTTGTGTTTACTCATAGTTTAACAAAACGTTTCCGTTCTGGCCCACGGATTCCCGCGGATGCATCGGTATTGTTGCTGCTTTCGATCGAACGATCGAAAAAGGGCTCTGACCTGGTGGAGATATCGCGTATTGTGCGTTCCTACGTGGAACGGCTAGACCCAGTGATGGTCGGTCGAGCATGTTGAACGATCAAGCAATAAAATTCCCCACCTTGGTCTCCCTAAATCGAAATGAGAATACCTATGGGCTCAAAAGAAATCGTTTTTCAAAAGAATTCATTTTTATAAATTGATCGTATTGAATTGTGATCGTTCAATCGATATTTCCTGTTTTTCTCCCTCAATTTTTCTGCAATCTGTCTGTCTGCAATGAGTTTTTATCAAGAAGTAATAATTTTCTTTTTATTTTCAGTATTTTTAATTTCTATTCAATAATTTATAAAAAAGTTTGTTGGGTTTCCCTAATTAATATCAGAAATGTTGGTTTTTATTTTATTTTCTGATTATTTATATTTATACAGAAGTAATTCGCTAATATTGTATTAAATTATGATTTTTTTTTTAAGTAATCTATTGTATATATTTATAATTCAAAAATATTCAATATTATAGCGATTCTTTCATGTTATTAACATGCTTTAATTAATGCATGCTTTCATTTTATTTCGTTATTTTATAAATTTAAAAGTTTGATTATCTATTTTTCTTTCTTTCTTTTCTTTTTAATTTGTTTCAATAATTTTTAAAAATGTATAATCTCATTAATCTTAATTCGAATTCTTAGATTTCGATACATTATGGATCAGCTGTGAGAATTTCCCGTCGTTCTATTTCCAGTTGTTCGATCAGCCGAGCGGTTTTATTGAACGACCAGTC